ACTTGTTTCTACGTTCGCTTCTTGTTACTACTAGTAAGGCACTTGTTACTAGTAGCGATGCACTTGTTACTAGTAGCGAACCTTGTTACTAGTAGTAAGGCCAGGAGCTACGTTCGTAGCGATGCCCTTTGTTACTAGTAGCTTCTTTGTTTCAAATAGCGATGGCCTCCAACCTAATAGCGACCGTGCCAAAAGTGTGCCGCTCAGAAGCTCATTGGACACGCCAATGATGTTGCCGAGAACGACTTGAAGCAGGCTGCGCCAAGCACATGGAGCACACGGAATGCAGAAAAAGGTGTTTCTCCTTCTTCGTTGTGCAAGAACTGACTTTGCTATTTGGTTGGAGGCCATTGCTAGTAGGTCGGAGGCCATCGCTAGTAGGTCGGAGGCCATTGCCATCGAACTTGTGATGTTCTTTTTCAGGTGACCAAAGGCGCACAAGAAGTGACGAAAATCAGGCTGCATGTTTTCTGTGCTCAAGTCCGTCGAAGAGGTTACCGTTTTTTTTTTTACATGCCGCCGTCCCGTGCGGCATGTTTGTGCTAAACCTCGTCGCAGGAGCCAACTGGATCAAAATCTCTCAAGCCTTCGGCCGCTGCCTTTTACGTGCGCAAACGCTAAGACGGACGGGGCGGAGCCAGCGATGAACAGCGATGCAGCTTCTTAGGTCAAAGCTGAAGCCAGCCTGCAATGCCTACAGCAAAGCAAGGAGAATTCTGTTCGTTCATTTGCCTCAAGAGGTTGTGGAAAGAGCTCCACAACTAGTAACATTCCATGAGAGATGTTGGTTTGGTGTTTGTTTTGGAGAAATTGAGTTGTACTCAACTACCCCCCTTTACGAAACAGCGCGCCTTCGATCGTTGCCTCAGGATCGACCTGCTGGTGGGTGATCCTGAGTCCAATAAGAAGGCTGTGTCCCAGGAATGCTTGAAGGCCCAGGCCGGAAGGAACTGAAGGAACCGAAGAGATGGGTTTTCTAAACTAGTAACAGGTGCCACGCTAGTAGTAACAAGTGCCTTACTACTAGTAACAAAAAAGCTATTAGAATTAAAAAAACAAAAAAAATACTAATAGCTTCTTGTTACTACTAGTAAGGCACCTGCTACTACTAGCGTGGCACTTGTTTCTACCAGCTTCTTGGTACTAATCAAACTTTCTATTCTTCTTGTTACTAGTAAGGCCAGGAGCCCCTAGTAGCTTCTTGTTCCTAGTAGCGATGCATCTGTTCCTAGTAGCTTCTTGTTACTATGGATTTGTTTGTCTTACTTTCCGAAGAGGTCTGAATGTCTTTCGAACTTGAGGGCCTGCTGTACACCATGCTGTCCATCGGTCAGAAGGCTGGGAAATTGCATGGTGGGCCCCTGTCTCCTGGCCGCGCTATGTCTCAAGGCCGAAGGCTGCATCGATACTTGCGCCGTGCCACTCTCTTAGTTTGAAGCGGCGAAGCAGCGATCCCGAAGAGATGGCAGGGCCCCTGCGAGAAGGTTCCATCATTTTTGGATCAAGTGGGCCTTCTTGACCTCAAATAAAGCTGGTCGGGAGAATGTTGGCCAAAGTATGCAATCGAAGAAACTCTTTCACGCTATTCTACGGCATGCGCAAACTGTGTTCGAGCCTAAGGCAGTCTGACGACCCTGACGGCATTTGCGACACGAGTGGCTGCCACGGCAAGCTTAGGCAAGGTTGGTTCAGTGACACTTTGTTCAGTCGATGCAACTAAGAGCAGCGAGCCTCTCAGGGAGTTGTAAGAACCCCCTTGCTTCAAGCGAAGTTGGACGCGAGGACCAAGAAGGATTTGGAGGATGTCAGAGGCACCTTTCTAGTGCAAATTCGCTTGTTGAACTGTGTAAGGGCTTTGAGCAACAGATGTTTACCCCATGGCAAGAATAAAGGCTTGCAGAAAGCTATGCCAAAAGCCTCCAGTATGTTGGGTTTGTTTCTGATCATTCTTCTAGAACCATTGCTGTCTTCGATGCAGGAGGGCCTGAGTGGAGGAGACGCCATGAGGAAATGCTGGAGGATCCACATGGGATAATTGCAACTTCATATCACATCCTTCGAACTCTTCTATTCCATCAGGAACAGGAAGAAGCACGCAGAAATCCATATTCCATGGTTTTTTTGTTTACATTGCTTTCTTTCCACTGGAGTTGCTGCAGTTGCTTTCAGGCATGTGGCAAGTGGCCTTACGAGTTCAAAATTCTTCCACCCGTAGGCACGGCGCCGTGGCTTTGACCGTGGACCCAGCCGTTGAAGGAAGACATTGGAAAATCTCGATGAAATTTTACTGTAAACCTACTAGCAATGGCCTCGTCTCCCTAGTAGCATCCTTGCTCCTAGTAGCGATGGCCTCCAACCCGATAGCGGACTGAGAATCTGTTCACGGAGCTGTGAGTGACTGCAGTACGGTTGGCGAACGTGATGGTGCCAGGCGTAGAGCCGGAAGAGGTGGCTCCAGATGTTCACGAGGCGATGCGATTTCGCCTTGGCATTTTTGGAAATTAGCCCAGCTGGAGACCCCAATAGCAAGATACAAACCCGGACAAAAAGAAAAATCTGGAAACAGCTGCTGTTTTCAACACATCGACCATCTCTTCTTTGGACACCATCATCACATAACCGGGACACCATCACAAAATGGCCAGGGCACCATCAAAACATGACCGAGACACCGTCACAACATGACTGGGACACAATCAAAACATGATCGGGACACCATCACATCATGACCGCGCCACCATCACATGACCGGCACACCGCCAAAACATGACCAGGACACCATCACAACAGGACCGGGACACCATCAAAACATGACCGGGACACCGTCACAACACGACCGGGACAGCATCAAAACATGACCGGGACACCATCAAAACAGGACCGGGACACCATCACAACATGACTGGGACACAATCAAAACCTGATCGGGACACCATCACAACATGACCGGGACACCATCACATGATCGGGACACCATCAAAACATGACCGGGACACCGTCACAACACGACCGGGACACCATCAAAACATGACCACCATCACATGATCGGGACACCATCAAAACAGGACCGGGACACCATCACAACATGACCGGGACACCATCACATGACCGGGACACCATCAAAACATGACCGGGACACCATCAAAACATGACCGGGACACCAGCATCACATGACCCGGACGCCATCAAAACATGACCGGGACACCATCCGCCCACCAGCTCTGACGGTGACCCGACGGCGCCCGTCCGCCTATTAGTTTTGCAAGACCCCATAGCATGGCTATTGGGGAACAACAACAACAACAACAAAGAGAAAGAAGTAGAACCTCCAGTTTTGGGAGTCGCAGGAAGAACAGTAAAAGGCACATGATGTCATGTGAGATGTGATTTCTCGTTGCTTTGCAAGATGGGTTCTGATTGCAGGCAAGCATGGCTATCCTGCAGCTGCCCCTGTAGCTGCCTTGGCTGTATTCCAATCCCGCCATGCTGTGTCGGTCCACGTTAAGGCCGTTTGCAGCGCCGTCCTTTCAGGAGGCACATGTTAAACAAAGGATGAGCACATGTCAAACAAAGCATTCTCACTTGAATGTATTGTGTAGATTTGTGTATTAATACTATCGTAGGTTACTTGTAGATAGTTTATGTGGCCTTTGCATGTGCCAAAACACAAATCGTTTGTAGGATCCATGACAGCGGCACGTTTAAAGTGTTTTATCTTTGTTTCTGTTCCAAACGTGTTGCGCGAGGATGCAAAGAATGCGCAAGTTCGTGTCCCAAGAAGCCGCGTGTGGCAAACAGCCATAAGCTTCTTGTGAAAATAGGGGCTGCTCATGTACGTTGCTTGAACGGCAGCAGCTTATTTTTTTTGCCCGGGGGGGAAGGCCGCGATAGTGGAGGTAGGTTAGCTAGGTAGGTAGGTAGGTAGGTAGCTAGTAGAAGAGGTTGCAGCTACTACTTGGGACGCAGGAATAGCTTCGCGCTAATGATTTGGTTTCTAGATTCTTACGGAAACTTAAGGCTTGGAGGCCATTGCAATTGGCTTGATGATTGCTCTACTTCTGAGATTACGGGCTTGAGATGAACCACACGATGACAAACATTGGGAGAAGAGGAGAATGTGATATTCATGCAACTGCCATGCTGTATTCTGATCTTTGATGTCAAAGCAAAAATGTAAACTGCGTAGAACGTTGTCCAGATGAACCACATTAGGAAATCCGAAAAATGAGTAGCCCCACAACAGATCCATTTGTGGAGTGTCAAATGAAGAGATTCCTTGATGGCACGGCGGCCGCCTGGGAGCCACTTGTCCTCCTCTTCGCAGGCACGTAGACGTAGGAAGAAACGGAGCTGAAAAGTTCCAACCCCATAGGGGGAGACAACGCGTTTTGCTCTCAAACATGAGACAGGTTTCTCTCAAGAAAAGAAGAGACAAGAAGGCTTTTGTTACTAGTAGTGATGCCCTTTGTTACTAGTAGCGAACATTGCTCCTAGTATTAAGGCCAGGAGCCCCTAGTAGTGTCCTTGCTCCTAGTAGCGATGCCCTTTGTTACTAGAAGAAAGACTCTCATGGAACAAAGTCGTCACGTTTTTTCTCAGGATGAGATTCAGGCCTTGCTGGATGAGTGTGATCGGATGCAGCGCAACTGGGTCCTGACCTGAGAATCTGTAAATCTGCAAAGTCAGAAGATCTGGTTTCCATGTGTCTACCAAGGGAAAAAAGAAAGGTTTTAAAGAAATGCAAAAGGAGAACATAGAAAAACTATAAAAATCTAAATGAATAAAGGAAAAGAAAAGGTTCTAATCGTCCCTTCTTCGGCAAAAATAGAAATACGAGCCCTCAGGACCTTCCGGGCTTCGGCCGAGCGAAGAGCCATCGAAGAGAAAGAGTTCCAGTTGAAGCCTTGGAGTGTTTGTTGACGGCCCTGCCCTCTGACCCTTAATTCAGTAGGTTCTAGCTACTAATAACGATGCACTTGTTCACCTACTTAATTAAGTAAGGGCAGCTTTCTACCTACTGGACGCAAGATGGCTCATTCACCAATGATTTGGCTCCTAGATTTTTAGGAAGAGATCAGAGCAGCGCCAAATGAGGAACCACATGGGAAAGGTGGCAAAGGCCAGGTTCGCGACATGTTGTCCTGGGCGCTGGCCCGGCATCGTGCTTTGGAAGAGGAGACAAAGCACCTTGGCAAAATGAGTTTCGAGGTCGGTGGACACTAGAGGCATGAAAGACTCGGAATGTCCTTGAACACACCACTGTGGCAAGACCTTGTCACAGAGAATCCATGTGAAATTTTATTTGCCCCAACACCATCAAGCATCATGAATCTAGGAACCAAATGAATAGTGCAAGCGTTTCTTCAAGGAAGCGTGAGCTATCAATTAAAGTAGTAGGTAGTAGTATCAATTAAAGCGTGTCCAGTAGGTAGTGGGCACCTACTCAATTAAGTAAGGGCGGGCCAAAAGAAAGTAGACAAAAACACCATCCCAAAGTGTCCCAAAAAAGTTCAAAGCCGATCCTGGATTGTTGACCATCTTCCACCAACAACTCCCTTCCAGGCAGGAGAAAGACGTGGAATTCCTGTCGCTGGAGTCGGTTAACATGGCCGATGCACTTCAAGAGGCAGGGCAGCAGGGGAGCAGTGAAACTGACTTTGAAAATAGGGATCAACGGTGTTTTGGAGGAAGAGTGAGAAGTTTTGAAGAGACAGATCAGGATATAGCTTCTTGTTACTAGTAGCGTCCTTGCTACTATTGAGATATGTATTTCCAAGTGTCTTCATCTTTCTTCTCCAGACCTGCGCTCCAGGCCCATGAGGCCTTGCAAGACGCCAAGCTCCGGATCCGCGCTGCCGAGGCCCATGCAGGGCCGAAAAAGGAAGGCCTCGATGGGCTCCAATTCTGTCTTTCATGATTTTTTCGTTTTTCGTGTTTCTCTCGGTTTCTTCTTTAGACCTATTTTGTCCTTTCTTTGTTCCTTCGATTTTGCTTTCGGGGTTGGCCAATATCAAAGGAAAGGAGTGGAAGGAAACGGATACAGAAGGAACAGAGATAAAAAGTCAAGTGATGCAGTCCATCTTAAGTTTATTTTGTAGAAAATGCCCTGTGCCAAAAAATACATCAGCCAAACTTGGAAGTCTCTAAAGTGTTTCCAGTGGTGCAGCGTTGACCCTGACAACAGCTCAGCTCGTTTTGCATTGGCGCCAAACCGGACCACTAACGACCAAGGAAGAAACAAAATACAGCTGATGGAGAAAGAACCACGAGGAACTTAAGTTTGCTAAAAATCTAGGAAGCAGATGAATAGTGCGAGCGCTTCTTCAAGGAACCTCCTCCCGCTGCGCTTACTTGTAGGTACTAGCTACCTAGCTTCTACTAGCTACCTCCCTGGCTAACCTACCTCACCTCACCTTTGCAGCCTACCCCCCCCCGAAACTCGTGTCTTTCTTCGGAAAGTCGGTGGCCCAGCGCAGCCTGACCCCAAGATGCGGAATAGTATGGAGCCACAATCTAAGTCATCGAGAATTTTCAGTGTTTCATTCACACTCCAGCATGGTACCAAATCTAGATGGACACCTGTGGTTGGCTGAATCTCTCATAGCATGCACTCCCAGTTTGACATCCCACAAGCAGAAAAGCCTGCAGAAATGAAAAGGAAAAAAACACTCCGCCTTTGTTGACTCGCTGACAGTGTTGCCACGTGAGGCTGCTGAGCGTGAGAAAGTCAGGGAGCAGCTCAAGGCGGAGATGTATGAGGCAGAGCGGCAGCTCTGAGATTTGAAAAGATCCAGTTCTGAGGATTTGTTACGATTATTTGCTTTGCTACTAGGAGCAAAGGGCATCGCTACTAGTACTAGGAGCAAGGGCGCTACTAGGGGCTCCTGGCCTTACTACTAGGAGCAATGTTCGCTACTAGGAGCAAAGGCCGCCATTGGATTTGTTGGTTTCAATGACTTGGGATTGCGTCAGGCTCGGAAGGATCGAAGAACGGTTTCAGAGGTGAAGACTGATTTGCTCCTTGGCAGCCTTGCCTTTTCTTCCGCTTTGAATTTATTTAGGTGCCTCCTTAATGAAGTAAGGGACAAACTACCTCATGTCTTCCCTCGCTCTTTGTTCTTTTGAGGGACAGCTCAGCACCGGAAGCCTGCAGTGCACAAGCCGCTAGCTTGGTTTGTCAAAACTTGGGCGCACAGCTTTGAAGTTTGGATTGCAAGGAATCAGAAGAGCTTTCGGGTATGAGCCAACATGGCTCAGACTTGGAGGCCAGAAGAGCGAAATGAGAAAAGCAAGAGAAATGTAAAAGTAGAGAAGAGAGATGAGACGGAAGGCATCAGACTTGAAGCCAGAGAGGCACCGCCCAAGCCCTCGGAGCAAGATCAGCTCAGCCAGCTCAGCCAGTTTCTTAAATTTGAGTCCTTTGCATTCCAAAAGGGCTCATGTTACCCGACAGAATGGAAGAGGTTTTCGGATAAGGGAATGAAAAGGGTCTTTGAGGCTTGGAACACGGGCGGATGACATGATCCATGCAACGCCACCAAGACTTTTATAGAATCCGTGCTTTTTTGTTGTTCTTTCAACCTTTCGACCTTTTCTTTTTCCTGAAAGCACCTGCGAAGGGTTCTTCGTAAAGAGCGGCTGCCAACTTCCGCTGTCCAACCAACCAACCAACCAACCAACCAACCAACCAACCAACCAACCATCATCATCAGGTGCAGCTGCTATATAACACACCTACATAGATAGAGGTGTTTAGATGATACAGTTGTTGAGGTACGGGTGAAGAGATCTACAAAACCGACCTACACAACTACAAGTTCGACATGTTTCTAACCGTCTCTTAAGGCGGCGGGGTGGCCCGGCCAATGCTCACGAAACGCAACCCTCGGAGATCCTGCGTGTCGGATGCGTGAAATTGCGGTCATATGCGAATCGTCTTCTGCCTTGGTGAGCCCTTTCCGAAGATCGTGCGCGTCGAGTTGCCGAAGTGTGTAGCTGTCGTCGAAAATCGAGGTCGAAGTTGCCAAAGTGTGTAACTGTCACGGAAATTCCCGGTGAAAGCTGCCAAGGTGTGCAAAGTGCCCCACAAGAATCCTCAAGAGTGTCCCGCAACACTGTCCTACAAGAGTGTCTCTGCGCGCCACTGTGATCATCATTCATCACTATTACACAACCAACATCATGGTCGTCATTGACATCACCATTACCTTGCGTCTCTCCTACTGTGGCTTTTGGGTCACCCCGTAGTTTAGCTTCCTCGCTTCATGAGTGAGTTGGAACCTGTCGCCAAGGTCAACCCTTTGTTCCGAAGCCACCAAGCAGAGCATCTTGGTTGGTCAGGTCACAGTTCTTTCGGCATATTTCCCTGTGTTGACTTATTTGGAAAGCTGGCGCGTTTTGAAGATGCAAAACTGGGTTCATAGATGCAATGGAATACGTTTCCTTCTGCAAGGATCAAGCTTCGGCCCGACCTCCTCGGTGGAAAGCAACTCGTCAGATGTTTGACGGCCCGTGCGGGATCTGACACCCTAGCGCTTTGCCTTTCAGGTAGTTGGTGGAGTTGGCAAAGGAGGGTCACGTGGTCGCAAGATTTCACACACCTCGTGTGGTTGCATTCACGTCATGAACTTTGTTGTTCCTGCTTCAGTGATGCTTTGGCTGTGGTGCACTTTGGTGCACTTTCTGTTCCAGAGCTGAGGATCATCGTCCGTCAAGAACGTGACTTACAGTCAGAACAACTGACAGAGCGGCTTTCCACTGGTGCAATCGTCGAAGAAATTGAGCTGTTTGGAGACCGCTTACATTATTCTCGACTCTCTGGCACTGGGCCTCAAACTGGCTGGGTGAGTCTCCGAATGGCGCGAAAGGAGTTGTTGATTCCAGTGAAACCACCCGCGAGACCGGCAAGGCCATTGCTTGGGCAAGCCCCAGGGCGACCCGGGCGACCCGCAAGGCCTGAATGGCGTCACTGGCATAGCGAAGAGTTGCCTTTCACTCAAATGGAGCCACCAATCAGAAGTTCCTCTGCACAGAGCGAGCGATGTGAACGGAAGCCAACCTCCTTGCCACGGCTCCCTCAGCCAAAGAGCGCCCCGCCACCAAGGACGAGACCAGATCTCACTTTGCCTCCTCTTCCACCTCTACTTCCAAATGGCAAACCGATACATCAAGCAATGTAAGCTATTGAAAAGAAGGACTGTCTCACCAAACGCTGCGCAAATCTGCGGCGTCGGAGAATGATCGCCTTTATTCGTGCGAGAAAGAGTGAGACCACCCTCGGAGTAGAAATGTGGAGTTGTTCTTCAAAGAGTGCAGTCATAGTGTCGGGTTCTTGCGGGCTGGGTTTGATCGAGGGTGCTCACCAGCGCGCGCGGCCAATTCGATGAAATTTACGGCACTCTTGTGTCTAAT